ATTCTTTTCCAAACGGAAAAGAGAACTGCATGGTGTACCACTTTTCGAATATTTTTTCGGAAATGTTTCTGAATATGATCCTCTTGATTTCCAACCAAAATCACCCGTTTATGCGAGAATTCGTTGAATTCATAATTAATTAACATAAATCCTAAAAAAGGTCGCTAAAATTAAAAGAAGTGCAAAAATATCATTTCGATACTGTATGTCAGCGCTTATATCAACGCAGCTTATTCCAGGTACATAAGACAGGTTTATAAGTCAGTTCGTACGTATAAATACGTAAATTTCTACTAACTAGCGGAGTATGATATCATACTGCGAAATTCTCGTAACTGCAGTCCTTGGTCCTCGCTTAGCATGAATCAATTCAAAATTCTCTCTGCACACTAAAAGAGAAGATAAAAATACATTCAAATAATATCATCGGTAAGTACAAGGCTATGTAACTAATAGCTGCAGTCAAGAGAGGATGATCTAAGAGAAGCATTCCCCCATACATGGGTCTCTTCCAATGATAATTTTTTTTTGAAATCTATTTTTAACTTTCCGTCTATAGCTGAGCTTTTTTTATTAGCGTTACCTGATTGGTCAGTTTTCGAGTAACGTGATGTCGGAGCCTCGATCAGAAGGAAATAAAAATAACTTTTACAGCATGGCGCGAAACTATTAATAGATCGATTTCAAACAATTATCATGAGGCACGGGGAACCCTTCTCTTAGATCATCCTCTCTTGGTACAGTTCTATTTGGAAATAGATATGTGTTTACCCATGTTATGAAGTCCATAATCAGAGCGGTAATTATGTTAATTATGTTAACAGCATTGGTTTAATTTAAAAAAAACGGGAATTAATCCTTATCTTAGATCATCCTCTCTTGGTATTTGAAATAGATGTGTGTTTACCCATGTTTATGAAGTCCATAATTTATGTTAACAGCATTGGTTTAATTTTTAAAAACGTCATATGAGGAACTCTAACCAATCAGAGCAGTGTTGACTTTTTCATCCAATCAGCATCAACATCAAAGCCATTCGTGACTCAGTTGCGTTATGAGCGTTTTCCCGCTTTTGGCACCAGTTGTATGTTTTTGCTTGGTCCTGATTGGTTCATTTCGTTAATTATCGTTGTTGTCATTGGCCAAATGTGTTTACTTTGGGAAAAGGCCAAAGTGCCCGCCTAGTCATTTTTGGTCCCCTTTTTCAGTGAGCACGAAAAGGCCCGCCTTGATCCCTTGCCTTATGAGCGCATCAGGGTCCACCACTCGGCCACTGGTTGCCGTTTTTATTCAGCTCTGCATATACTCAATCTATAGCATTTCTGATAAAAATATCTACCCAAGTGTACTGCCATTTATGCGAGTGAAAAATTAAGAGGAGAGGAAAATAGTAAGTACGTGCACAATTCCTGCAGGATTGCTGCAGAAATATATTTTCACAACTCGCTAATCACTGCACTCGGTTGTCATAAAGCTGCAGTCGATGCAGTCAGTTCCATCAGTTTTATTTCCTTCATTTATTTTATACAAAGAGCTTCAATTCCCCATAGGGTACATACTGCCCCAAAGACAAAGCCAGCACGTACTAATTAACTGATGAACTTTTCAACCGTTGAAAATTAGACATCGCCCCTTGTATGAGGCACGCAAACAAGATAAAATTATTTAAAACAAAGTTCACAGACCCAGTCCTAATAGAATCTGAAACTAGTATTGGAAATGGACAAGTATTTTATATCAACAAGTACTTGACTGATTAACCTTTCACTCCCAAGAGTGCTTTGTTTAAAACTGAGAAAAAAATCTTGAATTTCATTTTGCAAAATTATCAAAAACAAACAGCACCACATGCAGTACTGCTCGATAGATTTCATTTGAATGGTCACACACTAGGGTTTCATCCACAGACTCAAAAGTTACAGCCACATTTTATTGACTCAAGGTTCGACTCTGGGAGTGAAAGAGTTAATGAACTGATAAGACAAGTACCATGAAACATGCATTGAGATTTGAGACTTACACGCCTAGAACGGAATATATACGCTTTTAACAGCAAATGAACTGACCTCATTTGAATAGTGGATGCCATTGTGTGAGTACCCTCTCGGAACCCGTCACGACTTCATCCCAGTGATTCTGTTGCTGATGACTGCTAGACTGCTTGCCGAAGCACACCTCTCCGACATTCTCTCTCTTTCCTCGCCTGTCCGTCATGCGGTACAGCGTGAAAACCACCGCCAAGCTCGCTAGCTTATCGGACGTCACGCGGAACATGAACATCTCGTTGAATTCAGCATCGATGACGTGTTTCTTCAGTGTGGTTCGACACACTCGCAGGACTTGGTTGTTATCGCCTATCAGCTTCGTTTCAACGGCGATGTCTTGTGGCTTGGAGTTGGTCAGAAGACCGAGATTGCGGGTTTTGATCACTTCAGCTATCAGTTTCCTCGTTAGCGAGCGGTACTCCAGAGAAATCAAGATTTCGGGCTTACTGTCCTCCGAGGGCGGTTGCCCGCTGACGCCCGTGACAGTCCCGATGTAGCGGGAATCAATCGCGTAGGTTTCCGGAATGTTCAAATCCAGAGCGATTTTGATGGCTTGTGGGCTAAGGTTGATGTCCCCGAAATGCACAACTCCTTGACCAATCATGTGCTTGGACATAGCACGGTGATCGTACAAGCGAAATCGGAGAGACATCATTTTAATTTTATCTTTCGGGGTTAGTGTCATCGTGAAAGGATCTTTAAACTTCTTGGGGCGGGCGCGAAAGCTGTGCTGTCGAACCGGCAGAAGCATGCAGCTCACTTCCAGATCATCCATTTTCCACTTTTGAAACGGCGGGAATTCCACGCTGAGAATAGTCAACGTCAGCTTGGATGATTCGGGATCGTAGACGAACTGCATATTGAGCCGCCCGCCCGTCCCGACGTCCCGCGTGCTTCCCGAAGCAGTGCCATTCTCTTGCACAACTTGTAGGCTCGCGGGTGCGTTGAAACTGGAATCTTCTTCGCTTCCAACAGTGGAAGGAGCTGCGGAGACAGTGCTAACATCCTCGTAGCTCGGTTTGTAATCATCGCTGGGTGACGCTACAGGATCAGGCGGCGATTGCTTGTATTCTAATTCCAAATCACCGCCGCCGGTTTTCTCGCCTCCGTTGTCCACATCTTTCAAAGCGTCTTTGCCTTCTTCTGTAGCAGCGTCTTTCTGATCTATGTCTGGAGGGCTCCCATCAGCTTTTTTCTGTACTTTTGGCTTCGTTTCTCCGGCGATGCAACAACGCCAAAGCGAGAAAATCGAGACAGATTTGTCAGAATTTTTCGCTTCCTTCTCCTCTTTCTTAGACATGACGATCGTTCTTTCACTCAAGCGAAAAGTTCACTCGTATAACCTCACAAAGGAATGTCTTTCTCTATTAGCTTTCTAATGTCCACTTCAAACGCTTTGATGACAACTTGGAATTCTTCGATGAGAATTCGCAAAACGTCGATCGAAACTTTGCACGCCAATCGCTTCTCAGACACGAAGTGTTAACAGCAAGTATCTTTAGCAAATAAACACTTCGCCAAGTACGCAGTGGACTGGTAAACTATATCGCAACGAGATCTCAAACATAAATTTGACTTGTTAATTAGTTTAACAATCTTTTCCGCTCTTTTCTTTAGGAAATTATCGCTAGGTCTTTTGTTTCAAAACCAATGAGATCTAATTTCAGACGCGCGGTATTTGGAAATTGCATTGTTCGCCTCACATCACTGAATCTTTTCTTCAACTCTGTTAGAATCATTTCTATTAGTCACAGAAACGTAAACCTTTTAATTTGTAAAGTTTCAAATTCACTTTACTAGCTATGAAATCTCCATATATATCAGTTACACATAGCAAAGACAATCGAAATCATACCATAGATGTTGAAATAAAAATCGAATTATACAATGTTATCCATACAGTTGTAAAGTTTCAAATCATAAAATCTCCATATTTTATCACATAAAACAAAGACAATATATCAATCACATCGAAATCATACCACGCATAGTTGCATAATTTTAATGAAATAAAAATCTAGTTACAAAATATTTTATCCATACGATTTCAACACGGAATCATATCAAGAAAAGAGGTCGCCTTTTCTGGATCGTGACTGAAGATGGCTTTCGAGCTTCGAAAAAAGCAACGGTGTGGAAAATATATTCCAAAATTTACGCGGTTAAAATTTTAACGTTCACCTTGAGTCCAGTATGTGGGTGTTGTCAGTAGAGTTATTTAAAGATAATTTACTTTACAAAGAGTTTACCCGTAATCCAAACATTAAAACTTAACAAAACTGAAATTAACGAGAAATGTGTGAAAACAAACGGTGTATCATATATTCAAGTTTTGTATACTGAAATATTGATCAATTGGCAGTCGGTTCAATGCATAAAGATGAGCCGGGAATTGAGGAAAGCGACACCACCGCAAATATTTAATTACTCTCTGTGAATAAACATCACTTTTATAGAAATTTAAAAATGCACAAACTTGTGGGTAAACAAATTAAAAATCTGCCTCAACTGAGAATTTAATTGCATGGGCGCAAATGAGTTGTATGCGTGATCGAAAGCGTGATTCGTGAAAAACGATTAGTGAAGAACCGTGAACACGGTGAAGCGCGAAGTTGGTTCAGCTCAACAAATTCAAATAAAATGCAGCTTAATTAATGGCTGAGACATGGCTAAGTGGAAGGACACTGTTGTGACCTCATTTAACACTGAAAATGAAGAGAATTATTGTGCGTGCATAAGTGAATACACATTGTGATGCTTTATAACTTAAGTTGCCTGCGAGCGTCGGCGGAAGGAAATGATATGATGTCTGCATACAAGCATAATTGACTCGCTTCAGTGACTGATTAGCTCGGTGACTTGCAGGGGCAGTTAGTCGGGGCGCCGAGACGAAATAAACGGGGGAAATATCGACGCGACGAAACTTTACAAGCCCGTTACTTTTCTTCAACGGGAGACGCGGTGGTCTAGTAATCATGGTCAGCGCGTTGGACTCCGGATCGAGCGGTCCTGGTTCGAGCGCTTGCCGCGGTCATTGTGTTGTGTTCTTGGGCAAGATATTTACTCTCACAGTGCCTCTCTCCACCCAGGGATATAAATGGGTACCGGCGACAAAATGCTGGGGGTTAACCTGCGATGGATTAGCATCCTATCCAGGGGAGTAGCAATACAGTAAAAACCCGCATAAAAGAACACGTGTTTTGGGGGTTCAGGCTGATTTTGTTCTTATATATCGGGTGTTTTCTGGTACTTTTTGACCAAATTTGACCAAATTTCAGCCTGAGTGTTCTTAATCCACTTGTTCTTTTATGCGGGTTTTTACTGTACTCCTAGTCGCTTCATGCTACAGAAAGCGGGATAAGCTCCGGAAGTTGTGGACCACTAGGCTCGTGAAGACTTCACCCTACTTTTCTTTTCTCTCAGCGACTCTCGTCGACTCTCGTGTGCTCTCATCGAATTTGAATCTGCTCAAATTTTTTCAGTGGACAGTCGTCAAGAGTTTTCTCTCGTGATCGGCCGATAGTCGTTGAGAGTTGAGAAAACTCAAGTGCAACTCTTATCGGCCTTCAACTCCGAGCTCGTAGACTCGGTTCTTGTTTGGCCCGAGCTTTGCACCTGTTTTGTTATCTGCAATATCGTTATCGTCTCGATATCGACCACAACGGTTAACAATATGTCAAAATCGTTGTTTTGTTAAATTGCACCTCTTAAATGTAACTGTACATTAGGGATATCGTATGGTCTTTGCGAGAATGCGAGCACAGCGTTTTTCTTTGCGAGCGTGAGCATTGATAAAAGTGAGCCTTGCGAGCAACGAGAACTTTGCAAAAAACTACCTTCACTAAAAATCGAGCATGCGAGCATTTGTAAAAATATGCGAGCACGAGCAAACGAGCACCCACTAAAATTTTGCGAGCAATTCGAGCAGAAGCCTAACACTTGAGGGACCATTCATGATCGACCGCTCACATTATGTAACATTGGTGAGACAAGAAGACTTGTAACATTGATTCAAAAGACGTAAAAAAAATGAAGTAAAACAAACCAACTCAATCACGTCGAAATCACATCGGATGGCATATATGTATGGTCACAGTCTTTCCCTTCATCAGAGCGACACAAAGAACTGCAAAACTTTGAACAAACATGTATTTTTTTATAATATTGGCTGGCCATAACTCCTCGCAGAATCAACGAACAGTTCCAGTCGTTTAACTGATATATTCATGTTTTATTTCTCCGTTTCCAAGCTAACTCACAAACTCACTAATTCACGCACGCACGAACGAACGCGCGCGCGCTCATTCATTACCCACAAAGGTTTACAATATTGTTGTGTGCTTTACGTCAAAAGGTAAAATAAATCAGTGTATGTTGCATGTACCATAAGTACAAAAGAGAAAAAAAAGAAAGAAATCCGCCGTGCATTTCAGACGACAAAATAAAATTTAAAACTGCCAAACAACACCCTTCTCGCTTTGCGCGCTAACTAAAAATATAGGTCCGTAATGTGTGCATATCTCTACTGATTTTGACGCTCGTAGTTGCAGGTGTTTTCTAATAGTGATTTTACTGTCTAACAGAATTAATAAATATTCCTAGATATTGTTCAGCTATTAAAACACAACACCAATATTGCCAACATCGAAAAGCGGAATATATCAATGATGAGAAATTCATTACGGCAAGCTACAAATGGTCCACAACTGAAAATTTTCATTTCCAGATTTCTTTAAGTGACGTGCTGCACTTGCTTCAAGTTCGTATTTGTTCCTCTCATAAATCGCCACAAGCGAAGTAGAATTGGTCTTATTGTGTACACTCTTTTTTCTTTGTAAGAATCTTTTTTTATAAGAACTGATTGGGGCTGAGATTGGCGAAATTTTAAGAATATGCTAAGAATATACCCAAGGCTGAGATTTAGTTAAGAATTTTTTTGCATGTTGATAGAAAATAAAATACAATAAAATCACATCATATTTTAAATAAACTTTATTATACTACAGAGTATAGTATTCAGTAAAATAATACGATATAACCAGGAGAACCTTTTATTTAAGATAAAGGAAAGAAATATATATACATGGTACATATTTTACCATACTTTTCAATAGTAAGAATGTATATAAGAAAATTTTCACCCTAAACTCGGCAGAAAAATAAGAATATTCAACCTGAGCATGAAAATATACATTCTTACAAAAAAAGAGTGTATTGTTTTTCTATTTGTATTTTTTCCAAACAAACTTGTCCTTGTATTTGTGTATTCAGGTCCTTTGTTATAATTGCAGTGGAGTAAGAACCTATTCTTAACCTAGTGATATTTAACGCGTGGCGGCATTGAGTAACAAATGTTCCATAATTAAAAATTATCCTGCGAGATCGCGCGGAATATCGTCTGATACTTAGCTAACGAGGACGTAGGCCGAGTTGGCTAAAATCAGACGATATTCCGCAAGATTGAGCAGGATAATTGTTCATTATTCAACAAATTGCCAACGAGTCGCGAAATGAAAGCATCGAAATATGCTAAAAGTCCTCTCAAACTTAACCTGCGATCAGGCCAATTTTTCGCGCTCCTTACATTCTCTTTACGGGTCTCACGCTAAAAATGGGCCTGACACAATTCTTCTACAAATTGTCTGCCAATTACAAATCACGTCCAGATTTTGGACGTGATTTTAATGAATCTGATTGGCTGATTCAACAATAGACTTCGCCGGAAGTAAAAGCAACGCGCGTTGCGTGGAGAGTCAAGCGAAATCCGCCATGTTAGAAAGAGTGTCGGAAAGAGCAGAAAACTCTTCGTATTTTTGACTTTGGTAGAATGGTCTGGAAGCCGCTATTTGGGACAAAGGACAGAAAACAGTATATATTTTATTCAAGTGAGTTTATTTTGTATTTGCGTTATAATAAAATTACCACAATAATTATAAACATGACTCGATCGCGATCGTTCAACTGCATGGAAGCAGTCTTCTACTTATATTAGCTTAAAACTGTTGATTGTACGCAAAACAGAACGCCTTTGAACTTCGATCCTCAATTGCAAGTTGTCATTCGCACAAAGTTAGTACAATTTAAAGCGACGGCATACATGAACCTCATAAATGTTGTAAGCTTAGCTAAGCTTATTAAACGTATTTTAATAACATGACAATTTAGCAAACCGTGGTTGCCTGACTTTTCACTGACTATAATAAACATCACTGATCAGATGAAAAGTAGCCAATGTCAGTAATATAAAATTTAAAATAAGCTTTAAATTCGCATGCCGTCACGCTATAGTCGATGATAAAAAAATATTAAGCTTATAACAAGTTTACCTGGTCGACTTTATAAAATGATCGATCGAACACATTTAAGCTTAAATAATTCCTTCGCTTACCGTGTTGTTTACTCGCAGAATATCTAATAGTCCTTCCTTATTCGAATGGTGAAATCTCCCATGTAGATATGAATCTGGGAAGATTTGATTTCAAACGTTTTCTCTTCGAAAAACACCCCAATTTGCTTACACAACGACGAAACATTCACAACAAAAATGGCGTCCAAAGCTGTTTCGTTCCACGCGTGGAAATCCGGCATTCTCGCGAGTATCGCGTATCGGAAGTAATTTTGATTGGCTATTTAGAAGTCATGTCAATCAATGTCAATCCACCACGAAAAGGGGGCGGAAGGCATTTCGTTAAGGAATTGTGTCAGGCGTTAATTTTTCAGCGCGACCACGTAAAGACGAAGAGTAAAAGAGAGCGCGGAAAAATTCGCCTGATACTCAGGTTATCTCAAACTCAGCAGTACTTTCCAATATGTCGGACGAGTTTTCTTGAGTGTACTTAAAAATATGGCAAATGACATAAACCGCAGGAATCTTTCATGTACGGATGGCAGATAACAAGGGCTTTTTGACCATATATGAGCATCGTGACAATTTGAATAATTTAACGTCCTAATGAGTTTGCGCACGCTGCGGACCTATATTTATACGTAAGTTTTTCTGGGGTGTTCTGGTGGAGGTGGACTGGAGCTTGTCATCTGATTGGTTCCCGTTCTTGGCCGGACTTGCTCTTGTCCCGCGCTGATTTCACCCTTACCCGCCTTACAACAACAACACAAGCAGCAAGCGAAGACGCACTTCTCGCGTTTGCAGCGTGGTTTAAAAGGCGAAATAGCGTACAGTACCGTGCAAGCTAAACTGAACTCCGTCAAACGAAACAAAGTCTCGTGAATTAACCACGGCCACGGTGCTAATTTCTTGTTCCCTCCAAGCACAAAATGAAACTCTATCACTTCAACTAAATCGTAAATTTTTAACGCGAACAACGCAACGCAGAAAAATATTGTCAGCGCGGTGATGATGAAAACCTTCCGCACAGCTCTTGCGTTAAATGACGCTCGTTGGAGTCGGCGCGGGGTGTTGTATGTGGTGCGGGCGCATAATTTTCCATAGTTTTCTTGTGTGCGTTATTTTCGCGAATGACTTTGTAACCGCTTTTAGTGATACGGATACCCGTGAACAGCGTCATGGATAGCAGATAAGCGGTGCAAACCATGTACAACGCAGAGGTGCTTTCCACCAAGGCCGTAATGACATCCGCTATGATGACGACACTGAAGTGTCCCACGATCACGAGAACCAGGAATCGAATCCTTCGCAGCTTGGAGTAGGTCAGGGGCGCGGTCTTCACACTCGCCGTGAAGGTGATCTGGATCAGAGCGAACGCCGCCATGAAGCAAGGAAAACCGAGGCCAAAAACAATCCGGTGAACGTAAAGCGGTATCACTATGTCGGCGTTGTTGACATTGGTGGTAACCTCGTACGGGAACAGCACAAGCGCGAGTGCGCGCGTGATTCCTAGGACGATCACTAACGAGTGTACGGCATACGATACGTTACGGGACACCTTCTCTCTCAGTTGACGCCTTTTTGAAGCGGCGATGAGTCGTACAATGGAGTATAAGGCAAGTCCCAAGAACAGCACCACGAATAATATCCAGTGAAGCCCCCAGGCCCATTTAAACTCCGCTTTTGCT